TTTTTCTTTCCTCCAGTCAGTGATATGTGTTCTGAAATTCTGAACCATGAGTCTGGCACTAAATGACCTGCTTATTTGCTGCCGTCAACTAGAACATGATAGAGCTACAGAACGAAGGGTAATCAATTACTTAAATTTAATCTTCTTGAAACAAGTATGTGATTGGTAACTCATTATCATGCCCTTTTTGTCATTCTCAGAAAGAGGTTGAGAAATTTAAGCGCCTAATTCGGGATCCTGAAACTGTTCAACATTTAGATCGGCATTCAGATTCCAAACAAGGAAAATATTTGAACTGGGATGCTGTTTTTAGGTATTTCATTCTAATTTTTTTACTGTCATTTTTCTCTTTCATATTTATTTTTTATGATATCATTTTTTTGGGTGTATATAGTCTATTTACCTATGCTTTCTATATAGCATGATGAATTGCATATGAAATTGGTGTGTAATGTTTATCTGAAACATGATTTATAAAGGGTGTTCTTATAGGAAAAGTCAAATTTTAAATCATTTTTTCAATAAAACGATAAATCTAATGCATAGATTTATAAGTAACTCAAACAATGAATTGTGTTTTTTGTTAATTTTTTTAGCCTCCATTGAGACGAGATGATAGGTGATAGAGGGGATTAATATGTAAATCAGTGAATTAAAGAATATATGCTTACTTATTACTTTGACATCTTAAAATATCCTAAGTCATTGCTATATGTTGTTATAATAAAACAAGTAAAAGGAATTAGAGTAATTCCATATTAATGCATTTAAACAAAATTCAGGTATTAAAAGGACGTAACTGATAGCTGGACTGGAGTAGCAGACAGAACTGATGCATTTTTACATTAACTTAATTTTCCACCATGAAGTTGAAGTTTACTTACAACTAGAAGGAGATATTAAGCCATAGGAAATAATGAATAAAATATTTAAAATTAATGTAGAATATTAAGAAATTTGAAACATTTGCTATCAGTAGAAAAGCTAGGTATTGTTTTACTTATAGCGCAAAGGTACTAAATCAACTAATAGATTTGAACGTAGATTACATTTAAAGTACATGCTTCCTTTTCTCTGACTACTCAGTTTTTTCATATACCACACATATAGTTGTTGTCTAAAGAAGAGTAGTTTTCTGTGAGTTGATTAGGTAGGCCAAATAGATACCTGGCCATACCAACTGTGATTATCTTCCAGGCGATCTTCATTTAATGGCTAGCAATATTGCTTTCTCCCTAGAAAAGAGGCAAATCATACTTAATGACAAACAGATGAGAAAGCTTTGGGAGCCCTTAGTCAGGAAAGCAATAGAAAATCATGAGATTTCAGATTAAGATCTTTGAAGACCAGGCTTTAAACTGGTATTGTAAGACTTTCACATAGCTGGTACACTGTTCAAAGCAATGTGGTATAGAAGATGCTCTTTATGATGGCATGAAGGACTTTTTGAAACTGTTATGACAATTTAAGCATTGAATGTGATTCTGAAATTCCTTTGTTTTCTTAAAGGTTTTTACAGAAATATATTCAGAAAGAAACAGAATGTCTCAGGACAGCAAAAACAAATGTATTAGCAACCACAAAACAAGCCACCAGACAGAAAAAGATGCAGGAAATCAACAGCTTGGTCAAATACTTCATCAAATGTGCAAATAAAAGTAAGTGGTGTTACTTACTATAAATAAATAATAAGCCTTCATTTTCATCAACAGTGTACCAGGGTTCCGTTTTCCACCATATTCTCATCAACACTTCCTGGTCATTTTTTTTTTTTTAAAGATTTATTTATTTATGCATACAGAACTGGGTTACAGGTGAGAGGTGCCGGAGGTGAGAGAATTCACCAGAGACAGAGTACAGATAGATGAAATACACTGCTACGGGGAGCAGCGGGCAAGACAGGAGAAGTCTGCCATGCCATTTGAGTCACTTCCTGGCCTGGCATCAAACTCATGCTGAAGCAGCTTTGGCTAGCTTTGTAGTATTGTATTTTAACCCGTTGCGCCACCAGGGAGGGCCCTTCCTGGCCATTCTGACATGATCAGACTGTGTGAGGATGGTATCTCATTCTGGTGTCGATAGACATTTCTCTAATGATAAGTGATGCTGAGCATTTTTTCATGTGCCTATATGCCATTTACATGTCTTCTTTCTCTCTGCTCCCGCCTCACACCCCCCCCCCCACTTTTAAAAAAGGTTTATGTATGCAGTAGGCCTGAGGTGTGGTAGAGGAGGGAGGTGAGAAGATTCACCAGAGACAAAGTGGGGAGCAGAACAGGCAGATGTACTGAAATACACTGTTGAGGGGAGCAGCGGGAGAGACAGGTGAGGTCTGCTGTGCCAGGTAGGTCAGTTCCTTGGCTGGGATTAAACTTGTGCTGCAGTGGCTGCATATAGCTTATTAGCACTGAGACACAATCTTTTGTACCACCAGGGAGGCCACCTGCCCATTTTTTGATCAGGCTTTTTGTTTAGTTGTTGAGTTCTCTGTAGACATTGGTTATTAGTACCTGGTCAGATGTATGATGTGCACATATTTCTCCCATTCATTTGGTTGGCTTTCATTTTTTTTTTTTTTTAAAAGATTTATTTATTTGTGCATACAGAACGGGGTACAGGCCAGAGGTTCAGGGGCGGTGAGAGGCTTCACCAGACACAAAGTGGGGAACAGAACAGGCAGATTGACGAAGTACACTGCAGAGGGGAGCAGCGGGCAGGTCAGGAGAGGTCTGCCATGCCATGTGGTCACCTCTGGGGCAGGCGGGAATTGAACTCATGAGGAAGCGGCTTTAGATTCTCAGTGCTGTGCTTTAACCCGCTGCACCAGGGCCTGGTTGGCTTTCATTTTAATGGTAATTTCTTTTCACTCTACAGAAGCTTTTAAGTTTGATTTAGCCCTATTGGTTTTGTTTGCTTGTTTCCCATGCTGTTGGAGTTGAATCCCCAGAGACACCTTAAAGCTGATGTAGTGTATTGCCTGTTTTTTAAAATGTTTTTTTATGGCTTCAGGTCTTATATTTGAGTCTTTGTAACTTTGAGGCATTTTTTGTATGTGGTGTAGTTTCATTCTTTTGTACAAATCTGTTCAATTTCCCCAATATCATTTTTTGAAGAGACTTTCCTTTTTCCATTGTATACTCTAGATTCCCATAAGTTAATTGTCCATTGTCCATATAAGTATGGGTTTATTTTTGATCTCTCAATTCTGTTTCCTTTGTCTGCTAATTTATTTTTCTTAAAATTTATATTTTTATTTGTTTATTTTTAAATAGGAGCACCCAGACTAAAATGTCAAGAGCTCTTGAATTATGTTATGGATACAGTGAAAGAGTCATCTAATGGTACCATAAATGGAGCTGACTGTAGCAACATATTACTTAAGGACATTCTTTCAGTGAGAAAATACTGGTGTGAAATATCTCAGCAACAGTGGCTAGGTATGTTTTCTGTGAGTTTTTTTTTTTTAAGATTTATTTTATTTATTTATGTATGTAAGAAATCTAAGACTGGAATATGGAGGTTAGAGGACTCACCAGAGACAGCGTAGGGGACAGAACGGCAGATCTACTGAAATATACTGCTGAGGGGAGCAGCAGGTGAGACAGAAGAGGTCCGCTCTCTGGCTGGGGATTGAATTCATGACTCACAGGTTGGGGAAAGCTTAATAGTGCTGAGACCTTAACTCCTCTGCCACCAGTGAGGCCTTCTGTGAGTTTTTTTCTTATGAAATTTCACCAGAAAAAAAGCAATCTTTCTGAAGCCCCATCGCTCAAATGACTTCACTTATTTACAGTCGTAGTAAAATTGACATGTAGGTATAGAATCTGACATTTAGTTTTTATTTACTATGTACTTCTTAGACAAATATTAGATGTCTGCTGTCAGAACTGGATTTACAGAATTGAATGATGCCACCCCTTGTCCTCAAGGACATGACAATTCAGTAGCAGAAATAAACCAAAAATGATAATTTAACATGATATATTGATAGATATGTTTGAGTCTAGTGAATTCACGATTATTGATACCTAAGCTCAGGCATGATTAAAACAGAAAGAGGAAAACCAATAGATTGAGGTTTCATACAAGGAAAAGCAAGAGACTTTTAACTTGTGTGATTGATATTGTTAATTGTAGTAGAAAGAATAAAACAAGCAAGTATTTGTTGTCAGGTCACTGCTAAGGTAGTGAAAGTCAGACGTATCACACAAGAGTATGGAGGACCCAGTGGTATACCACAGAAGAGGGGCTGTGAGTGCCAGGGACAAAATTGCTATTTTTGACAGCTTACAGGTGAGCAGTCCTGAGATACCACAGAGGAAGGAAGTTATGATCAGAGACTGAAATAGTGAGTTTCTTGATTTCAAATATGGAGTATTGTTAGGTCTGAGTGAGTTTAATGGGTGAAAGTGGGGTTTGATTTTGAGATGACCTTAAGCCAGATGACTTGTACTTCAGTTTGCATATGGCATGACTTTTAATATAAAGTCCCAAGAAAGCTACATCTAATTATGTTCTTTGGGGCTTTATGTTATTCTCTTTACTACTAAAATTCCTTTTTAATATGTTGTTTCACTATCTGCTCCTGTGTGTTCTTGAATTGTAGTGATGGGACTGTGCTTCTGCACTGTAGTCTGTTAGACTCTACTCTTCTGAGACTCTTGTTCACTCTCTTATATCAGCTTTTTTGCCATATGGATTATTGAGAATTTGGATCATTTCCCCCAGTTAGTATATATTTAAAAGCCTTGAAGCTTGAACTTAGTCAGAGATAGTTTACCGTCCTATTGATTTTTTCTGTTTCACCTCTTTACAAGTGAGAAATGATAAAGATAGCCTCTCCTGTTTCTTTATCTCCAAATTTTTATATACTAACTCAATGGTTTAAACAATGTTTAATTATTTTAAATAGTGAGAAAATCTGGGAAACCACTGGCTCACAGTGGTTATTAACAGCTCACAGCTCTATTAACATCAGATATTATGAAAGCAATCATTTGAAAAATTGTTTATTGTACTATTTAATGTTTGAGGTAGTTATAGAATCATCTGACATATTCATATGAAAAGAAAGATATCCATAATTGAGGACCTTTTAGTGATTTGTTGATGGGAAGAAAACCCTGCATTAGTGATTGCTTGCATTTCACGTTTCTGCATTTCTTATGAACAAAGCCACTCTTTGGCTGCTTTTTTCCGAGACTATTGTGTTAAGGATGCTTATCTGAGTGCTGGCTGTTAAGCTGGTGCTTGCATACTCTGCTGCTAGTAGTTTTTTCTGCTTTTAAGGCAGTTCATATGAACATAGTTAAATGGTGTACTATTTCTAATGTATTAATAGAAATTAGTATCATTCTAAATCTTTTGTCTATGAGGAATTATTAAATGCTTCAACTAAACTGTGACAATTTATATGCTTTGATAATTTTCTTTTTTAAAACGTAACTAATAAGTTTTTTGCTTTTTTTTTAAAAGAACTATTCTCTGTGTACTTCAGGCTGTATCTCAGGCCTTCACAAGATATGAATAGAGTTTTAGTGGCTCGAATAATTCAAGCTGTGACCAAAGGATGTTGTTCACAAACTGATGGATTAAATGCCAAACATCTGGATTTTTTTTCCAAGGCTATTCAACATGCAAGGTAGTTTCATTTCTTTATAATTTGTTCTTCTTGCAGTACCATGTTTTTATTCAGTTCCTAAAAATACTATCAAATTTTAGAAGTTGTTTGCCTGTTGTAACAGGACTACTGGATTTCCAAAGAGTATCAGCCACCCAGCATTTTCTGAACAGTCAAAATGGAGAATGAAGTGGGAGGCCTGTGTATTCTTCCTAACATCTAAGTAGTTTGATCACCACCATTTTTGAAGAACAAAATAATTAAGAATAAAATAAAATAGGAATATATTTGGAAATACTAGTTGCTTACATTTGTGTAACATTACCCAATTTATAATGTGACTTTTTTTTTTTGTAATGTGAAATATTTTTCAAGCATTATTACAAATCAGTTCAGACAGTGTTTCAAAGCAGGGAAAACAGGTGGTTTTCTTTGACGCCAAGTAACTTTTTTATTTTTGAGATGTAACTTCATAATCGTCTTCAGTCTGTGCCTTCCTCACACCCAAGTTGTACCTGTTTATTTTCTGTCGCAGACAAGAAAAGTGTTCTGCAGGTCTAAATCATATCCTGGCAGCACTCACTATCTTCTTCAAGACTTTGGCTATTAACTTTCGAATTCGAGTATGTGAATTAGGAGATGAAATTTTACCCACCTTGCTTTATATTTGGGCTCAACATAGGCTTAATGATTCCTTAAAAGAAGTGATCATTGAATTATTTCAACTACAAATTTATATCCATCATCCAAAGGGAGCCAAGACCCAAGAAAAAGGTAGGAAGAAAACTTAAAACTTTTACTGTTTAAAATTTGCTTCATTGAGACTTAGAAGCATTAGTATGAAATTTGAACTTTATAGTAGTTCACCTTTGTTTGGATTGCTATGCATGTTAATCATCAGAATAATGCTCATATATAATTTTAGAATTCAGAGTTGTGATAGCTGTGCAGTGCCCTACCACTTTTCAGTATTGTGCTAGGGATTATGAAGAATGCAAATGAATACAGCACATTGCTCCTTCAACAAGTTGATTAGGCAGCAGTAATTATAAACTAAGAGGTACATACTCAAAAGAGTTTGGAAAAAGGAGGATCTTGCTTGTCTCTCTGTTACTTTTTTTTTTTTTTAAAGCATTTATTTGTGTTTACAGAACTGGGATACAGGCCAGAGGCTCAGGGGCGATGAGAGGCTTCACCAGAGACAGGGTGGGGAGCAGAACAGGCAGATCTACGAAGTACACTGCTGAGGGGAGCAGCTGGCGGGTCAGGAGAGGTCTGCCATGCCATGTGGTTACCTCCAGGGCAGGCGGGAATCGAACTCATGCGGAAGCGGCTTTAGATTCTCGGTGCTGTGCTTTGACCCGCTGCACCACCAGGGAGGGCCTCTCTGTTGCTTTTATTAGAAAATCAAATAGGTAAATACAGACTGAGCAGCCAGTTAGATTATGTAATTCCCAAGGAAGATAGGCACCTATTAAGGGAACGTGAGTTGTAAAGAGGAAATTGCTGCCTTAAACCTTAAAGTTGCTCCAAATCTGTTTGCTGGGAAAACCAGAAATAAATTACTTACCTTCCCTTAATTCTCTTTTGTGTTTCACCAAGAGGAACTCCATTTAGTGGACAGGAGCTTATTGGATGGATTTGAAGCTCAGTATGTTTCCTCGTGCTCAGGCTATTATTGCCCTTGGGCTTGAACTAGCCTTCAGACCAGTTTATCATGGCTAGTTCAAAAAACTTGTTAAGAAATTGGGCCCTCCCTGGTAGCGCAGTGGGTTAAAGCACAGCTCTAAGAAGTTAAAGCCACTTTTGCATAAGTTCGATTCCCTGCCTTAGAGGTGATCCACATGGCGCTTCAGACATCTCCTGAACCTTCCACTGCCCCCCTCAGCAGTGTACTTCATCAGTCAGTCTGTTCTGCTCCCCACTCTGTCTCTGGTGAATCCTCTCACCACCCCACACCTCTGGCCTGTACCCTAGTTCTATAGGCATAAATAAATATTTTTTGAAAAAAAAAAAAACATGCTGCATTGAATAATAGCAGCTAAAACAGAGAAACACTGATGTCAACTTTTATTGAAGGCAGGTGTGTGTTTTGGGGGCACTTTCACAATGTAAAGTAACTGTACCTTCTGAATCTACTGTAAGTCAAGGAATGGTGCCTTTTCTTAGTTTTTTTCTTTCACATAGTTTTCACGGTGATGGAAATCACATAGCTCTCACTGAGGTAAACCTTCTAAAAAACACATTTAAGATTTTATTTAACTGCATATTTTGGATGAATTGAAAAATGGCTGCCAGAAATGCAAATGTTATTTTTGGTCACAGTAACAGATTTATGGTACCTTGCTTGTGGGAAATAATAGCCTCATTATTCTCCATTGTGATCGGACCATAGTTGAAGTATTATGTTTACCAGGCAATAGAGTCAGCATTTTAAGCGAGAAAAATAAAGTCATGGAGAACTTGGCCTTCATATGAAAGACAGGCCTTAATTAATTGTAGTTACCTTAGGGAAGAAAAGAAATTAGAGAACGTTTGATGTGTTAATGAGAGAAAATTGATTGATAGTGAAATGGACACTGTTAGGAAATAAAACTTAACAAGGACATTTTCAGAAGAAGCTTCAAGTACTGAGTAGAAGGCTGGACCAGGTGTCTTGTAAAATTGTTTAATCTTCACCAATGTGTGTGTGAGTTGGCAATACAAGTGGAGTTCATATATAAATTAATTTTAATGTTTTGGATTTGTAGGGGCCTATGAATCAACAAAATGGAAAAGTATCTTATACAACCTATACGACCTATTAGTTAATGAGATAAGTCACATAGGAAGCAGAGGAAAATACTCGTCAGGATCTCGTAATATTGCTGTCAAGGAAAACTTGATTGAATTGATGGCAGATATTTGTCATCAGGTATAGTACATCTCCTCACATTTTTAAATTTACCACTAATTTTTTGGACTTTAAAACCTCTGCTCAGGTAAAAGTGTTGCAAAATTATTCTACTCTGGATGTGTAACTATTCCTTTTCAGACATTATGAATATGTGAAATTAATCTTCTAATGCAAGAGATGACTGTTCTTACATGTATAGGGTTAACAAAAACTAACGATGAACTTTTTATTATTGTTGCTAGTAAACAGTTACTGTAACCTTTCTATTTTTTTATATTGAGCTGGAAATTACATTGCACAAAATTCATTACTTTAAAGTATATAGTTCAGTGTTGTTTTTTTTTGGCATTTTCTCTATGGCATACAACCATCAACACTAAAATTCTAGAACATTTCCATCATCCTAGAAACAAACTCATACTAACTCTTAGCAGCCAGTCCTACAATTCCTACTGCTTCTACTCCCTTGCAACCAACTGTGTCTCATTTTTCCATCCCTATATTTTTCTACTTATGGCATTTCACCTAAGTGGAATCATGCAATCATCTCTGTGGTCTTTCATGTACGCCTTCTTTCATTTACATAATGATTTGAAGGTTCAACCATGTTATTCCATGAGTCAGAATTTCTTTGTTATCTCTGAATAACATTCAGCTGGCTATGTCACATTTTATTTACCCATTTGTCAGTGGAAGGCTTATGATTAAGTAAAACTTTCTTCCTAGAGATATAATCTTCAAATGATATGGAAGTCAAAAGATTCTTACTGCCAACTTTATGATTTAATGTCTTTGAAAATACAGATATTCACTTTACCAGGACGTCTTGATGCTTTCAGTAAATGTTCCAGGATATAAAACTAATACATTATTTGGTAGTATCTGCTTTCAAGAGAGCCACTATAGCCACACAGCATGTTTAATTCGTAGTATACTGTTATATATATCTCTCTGTAATTTCTCTTGCTTTAATGATTCCCCTGTATATTTGGGGAGGAATTTTTTTTTTTCCTAGTGAACTGTTAGAAAACAATAATGTTAAATAAATGTTTTTCTTTTTGTTGTTTTACAGGTTTTTAGTGAAGATAGCAAATCATTGGAGATTACTCAGTCTTACACTACCACACAAAGAGATTTTAGTGATTACACTTCACCTTGCAAAAAGAAGAAAATAGAATTAGGCTGGGAAGTAATAAAAGATCATCTTCAGAAGTCACAGAATGATTTTGATCTTATACCTTGGTAATTTTTTTCTTGAGTCATTGTCATTTTAGTAGCTTTTCCTCACTTGACCTCTAGTAGAATCCTGTAATCTCATTTGCCGGATTAGGTCAGTTGTCGACTTCAAGCCAGCCACTGACACAAAACAAGATGATTGTCAGGATATATTGTGATCAACACTGGGCCAGGGCTAAGGCCACCTTTCTAAGCTGTCGCCATAGGAAGAAAGAGGGGGTGTCCTCCCTGGTAGTGCAGTGGGTTAAGGCAAGGCCCTACAAAGCTATCCTCAGCTGCTTCAGCATGGTTCAATTCCCAACGGGGGAGTTAACACACATGGCGCAGCAGACTTCTCCTGTTTTGCCTGCCTACTGCTTCTCGCAGCAGTGTACTTTATTACTCTGCCTGTTCTGCTCCCCACTCTTATCTCTGGTGTATCCTCTCAGCACCCCCTCTACCTCTGGCCTGTACTCCAATTCTGTATACATAAATAAATCTTAAAAAAAGGGGTGGGGGGGAATGACTTCTTGATAGGTAGTCAGTAGTATCTGCCTCCAGGAATTAACCAAGTTGTACACCTTAGCACAAAGATTAACATGCACAGCATCTCAAAGTATTAAATTAGGAAGAAACTAAAAATCTCATTCAGAAATCATAATTTTTGACTGTATGCCATGAAAAAGCTTATTTTTTTCTTATTTGCTATGTTCTTGAGTCTTCTAAAATAATCACAATTTTTAAACAAATTGTGGAATTCTGTGGGATCACATAGGACTCTTTAGAATTCATTCAATTCAGCTTATTTGTCTTACTAAGAAAGAAACTGAAACTGAGAAAGTTTGAGTTACCTAAAGACAATTAGGAACTTGTAGGTAACATTTTTGTGATCAACGTCCTTTTTATTGTACCATGTTGATGGAAATGTTTAAACATAGGTGAGCTGGGATTTGGTGAGAGGGGGATGTGTTGATTTAGATGCCATTGCTTAAGCTCTTATTTAGTTTAGATAGTTGAGGATACCTATTTCAGATTCTTTAATTTGCCCATTCAGTCAAGAGCTGCCATTGGATACTTGCTGTATGCTAAGCCTGAGGGACACAGAGATGAAGAAGATAAAGCTAGCTTGAGTAATTCACTTTCTACAGGACTCTCCTCAGATACTGAATTAATTAAATTAGTGTCAAAAAAGTTTATTGGCTTTTTTTTCTGTTTTCGAGGAATATTTTTGGTGACTGAGGATCAGGTCTATGTCTAATAACTTCAAGCTGTAGAATATAGCTAATTTAATTATTATTTAAAGTTTTTAGGTTAAGAAAATATAACTTAGCCAGTTAGCCAAAAAACTGTCAACTTCTTGTTAGTTTAGGCAGTTAAGGGCTAGTAGATATTAAGATTTGAGAGTAGTATGAACAAGAATGATTGTGACACTGTAAGTAGGATTGTTATCCTTTTTTTCTTTTAGGTTACAGATTACAACTCAATTAATATCAAAATATCCTGCAAGTTTACCTAACAGTGAAGTGTTGCCATTACTAATGATACTATGCCAGCTTCTACCCCAACAGCGTCGTGGGGAGCGCACACCATATGTGTTACGTTGCCTTACGGAGGTTGCAATGTGTCTAGGTGGGAAATCAAACCTGGAAAGCTCACAAAAGTCAGATTTATTGAGACTCTGGGCTAAAGTCTGGTCTCTTACCTTTCGTGGTATAAGTTCTGAACAGATACAAGCTGAAAATTTTGGCTTAGTTGGAGCCATAATTCAAAGCAACTTAGTTGAGTTTGACAGAGAATTCTGGAAGTTATTTACGGGATCAGCCTGCAAACCTTCATGGTAAGTGACTGCATTGTATAGGATGTTTCTCTGTGTGCATGCATGAGCATATATGTGCATATCTCCCCCACCCAGATCATTTTTGTAGTTTGTAATTTCAGTTAAAGATATGACAAATTGTATTTCAAAAACTTTGTTGTTTTTCTAGGAAGTCTTAACAAATGAATAAATACCAGTTTAGTTTCAAATGTGTACCAGTTATGAGAATTGAGCATTTAAAATTCTATTATTTTAATTGACAAGTAATTATTGCTTGCTATTTGTAAACTTTTTTTTTTAACTAGTAATTGCATACTGGTATAGGGGGTAGTCCTTAATCAAACATCTTATTAAATGTAGTCAGATTTTTTTCATATTTTATTTTTACTTAATCAACAAAAATTTACTGTGTGTTTACCATGTGCCAGGCACTGTCAGCACAGCAGTAACTAAGATGAAGCTTTTGTTCTCAAGGTACTTTTAACCTTGCTCATCCTTTTGTTTTAGTCCTGCAGTCTGCTGCTTGACTTTGGCACTGACCATCTATGTAGTTCCAGAAACAGTACAAACAGGAATGGAACAAAATATATGTGAAGTAAATAAAAGTCTTTCTTTAAAGGAATTGATAATGAAATGGCTTTTATCCTATCATTTAGAAGATGACTTAGAAGACAGTACAGAACTACCTCCAATCTTTCACAGGTAATTTGAGTTTTAATTAACATGTGCTGGGTTTTGTTTTCTAAGTTGCCCTCCATTATTAATTTGATGCCAAGTGGCTTTATTTCACAGTGATACTGCAGGATTTCCCAGAACTAGCCCTCAATGTTAAATAGCCCTCTTTTTATAGTGCTTTTACAGTATTCTGTGTCTTGGTACCTAGATTTATGTTTAGGTGTTTTTACTTTGTTTCGGTCTTTCTGCCTAGATAGTGAGAATAGGGAGATGCAAATTAAGAACAGGCCTAAAAATTTTTGTACTGAAATGTTCCTTTGTGATTTTCTGTCAGTTGGCTCATCGGAGCATCCAGTATCTCCTGGAATCATAGTGAGAGTATCTTGGATGTGAAATAGGTTAAATTATTTGGGTGAGGAAATGAAAGGCAAAAATGGCTTGGGGTATAGCTGCCCAGTTAGCCTTTTAATTGATGGTGATTGAACTGAATGATTGACAGACTTCTGGATCATTGTGCTTTCACTTGGGTTTCATAATGTTTATTTCAGAAATGATCTTTTAAACTTGACATAATTCTGCTTCTGGGAAGTATAATGTGTATGCTCCATAAATTCTCCTTTTAGATGTTGTAGAATTCTGTACAGATGGAAGCAATTTTTAATTTTGGTTCTATTTTCTTGAGGTCAAGATTTATAGTTATAGATAATTCAATTCAATGCATTTTGCTTTTAAGTGAAGATTTTTATTTTCTTTTATAGTAATTTTCCTCTTCTCTCATTGGAGAAAATTCTTGTGAGTCTCACTATGAAAAACTGTAAAGCTGCAATGAATTTTTTTGAAAGTCTGCCAGAATGGTATGTTTTCTAATAGAATTCTGTGTTACTTGAAGATATAGCTTTAATTACAAAGATAATGATATTGGCAGCTGCATCTTAAAATTATGAACTTCAGGTCAATTAAAAAATTGCAAGGGTTCTTTTAACTGAATTATTTAAGCTATCGCTATAATTTTAGATCTAGCTTATTGTTTTTGATGCTGTAGAGTATGACACATCATTGAAAGAAAAAGAATGGTTGTGATGGGAAATTAAGAACATAAAATTATGTGAAATGAATTCATTAAAGATGTAACCCTTTTTTACTTGTCAAGTAAAATGACTTAGCTTTTAGAACTAATGATAATTGGTGAAAGGGAAAACATAAATTTTGAACTTCATTTTTGTTGTCTTAAAAAGCTCATATCTTATCACTGTAACTTAAAATGATGTACTGACTTGATTCTTACTCTGCCTCCTGAAGGCATAAGATGATAAAAATTTCTATGTTTTGGAAAAATCAGAGGGCTGTTATTTTTAGGGCTTATATTGGTATTAAAGTTTTCCATCTAAAACTTTGCCTTTGAGTTTGTAACTGGTGTTTCCTTTGTCCATTATTAGTAAAATTTGCAACTGAATAATTCATTTGATACCATACATCTCAAAAGTTAAAAGAAGAGAAACATGTAAAGTTGTCTAAGCAGTCTTTAGTAATATAGATTCTAAGTTAATATTTTAATTTGTAATATACTGCTGCTATGTATAGATGGATTATTAGGTAGTTTGATTATAAATTAATTATTTTCAAGTGAACAGCACCATAAAGAGAAAGAAGATCCTTCATTCTCGGAAGTAGAAGAACTGTTTCTCCAGACAACTTTTGACAAGATGGACTTTTTAACTGTTGGAAAAGAATGCCCTGAAGAAAAGTACCAGTCCAGTGTAGGCCTTTCTGTCCACCAGAATCTCAAGGAATCACTGGATCGTTATCTTCTGGGATTATCTGAACAGCTTCTAAATAACTACACATCTGAGGTGAGAGTTTTTTAAAAGAACTGACATCTGTGTTTGGTTCAACTGTGGTTTAGTTTGGTAGACTGTTAGGATGGAAAGACACAGGTAGGAAAAGCACGGAGGAACCATCCTTAGAGATTTGACTTAAAAGCAAAGTGACAAGTACAGAACTACAAGTAGAGAAAAATTGACATGAAAAAGGAAAAACTGAAGAAGTATGATGAGTTATTTCCATTGTACCAGAAATTCTAGTAGACATTAAAATAGAATTCTTTGGGTCAGCTATGGGGAATAATGGTTAGGGGTTAAATGATGAAAAAGAATCTCTCACACTGGAGAGAAATGTTACAATAATAGGGAAGGACACCAGTGATGGGGCTGGCACTGGTGGAAGAGGTAGGCATGGTTACGCTAATAAATTAATTTGAAGTCACCTTTTTTTTTAGAGGTCATCAGGTAATTTTTTTCTCATACTACTTTCTTATGTCTTCTTAAAATCACAAATTTTCTCTTACCAAACTATAATTTCTTCGTATGAAATGTCTTGCTATGTTTGTGTACTTAACTCATCCATATGTCAGAACCTTTGCTAAAGCCTTTCTCATTTAATGTCCACAATAATAATTCATGTTGTAATTTTCATAATAGTTAATATTTCTTTTTTTTAGATGGCATAGCGTCTTTATACATGGATATTTATGTATAAACTTAATACACAAGCACCTCTTAGCCTATACTGTGAGCTCCTTCGAGGGCATAAATTTTCATTAATCTTTGTAACCACAATG